CTGACAAAGTAGAAACCAGGGTAAATAATTTGGTTTGAAGTGGAATGGTAATCTCATAAACAATAATAACACGCTTGACACTTGAGCTTGTATAAATTTGCCATTAGCTTACGCGTAGTCTGCCAAGTCAAAGTGATTCTCCAAACCGCTACATTTACTTGATAAATCATGCGGATTTTGCAACTTTCATCGTAACTTTTCCCAGAACGACCTCTTTCCCTTTTGGAGCTATCCTTTCTACCCGCAATGACCGCAATCATCCAGAAGAGAAAAATGGAGGTTTGCCATGGTGGCACAAATTGATTTCCATCCCAATTCCGGATTTATAATATTGGCGGAAAATTACGTTTTTACCGTGAATATCAAATGATATTTTTCCTTGCCGTTAACTTTAATGCAAAACAAACTATGATGATAATAATTGAAAGTATCACGAATGATTTTCAAAATGTAAGTTGAAAATGTGTAAAAAATGAAAACTGTTCAAAGTTAGTTTAGACTTCAGGTCTAAAGCAATTTTATATAGATCAAAAATTAATTACACAAATCCACTTTAAATCCATGGAAAAAAGTCTGGTGTGATGTATCAGACCGCATCTCACGATTTCTGAATAATTATCGATTAACGGTCACTAATCACCACACATTATAGTTTGTTTTAAATTTTCAGTTTCATGTTAAATTAGAAGTCTTACCATTTTATGTTTCTCGTTTTTTTTTGTACAGGTTTAAGTTCTTTTATTTATACCTATTTCTTTTTCAATTTCTTATTTATTTTAATATATTTTTAGTATGGTTTATTACTTGTCTAGAAAAATTTCTTACGGCGTTCTTCAGCAGACGGTTTTCAACCATTTGGCGCAATGTGTGAAATATGTCCTTTGAACAAATGAATATAACAATTTTTACTAACTAAATATTGTAAAAAGAAAAAGATAATATTTTTATGCTATCGTTTACATATGAGTCTATTATGAAAATTGTAGTTGATTATAACCATAATTTTGAATAGAACTATATCTAAATCCTCTTGACTTTGAATAATAATTATACTATTAAACTACAACGATGTTTTATGCACATGATAAATTTAAACGTTGTGTATCGCACTAGAATATAACAGAAGACAGACGACACCTCAAGCAATCCCCTGGTACCTGCTATTAAGCAGTGATTAATCCCGTTTGTACTCTTGGAAATTCAGGTTCCAGGCAAAAACAATGACATTCATAATAATTCGATTGATTTATTTGAATTTGAGATATTTAACAAGACTAATAGTTTATTGTTGTTATCTGGTTACCATTTGTACGTACAAAATGTTATTGACAAGTAAAGAAAAAATTTGAGAAATGTTAAGAAATTGGACAAGGTTGTGGGATCATGCATTTCAATGAAATGTTTTAATGACACAAAGAGCAAAATAAATAACACACTGAATGTTCTTTTCAATGGGGGATTGTCTTGGGAACGGAAAATTTTTTTAAAAAGTAATATAAATTCAGTTATTTTAATGTGGTTCTCTTTCTTTGGTGGCATGTATTCCAAGGTATTTTCCACTAACGAAAATTATTATGTTTTCGAAGAAAATTTACTAAAACATCCAAAATAATTTAGTGATAGATTAAAATTTAACTAACAATTTCTTTTCTGTTTTTCTCTTAATAGTGCGTATTATCGCGGAGGGTCTCGTCGTCTAGGCATCGAATAAATAAGCAACCGGATTTCGTCTTGTGAAACAGAATCCCATTCTTCAACTGCGGTTTGAAGCTGTTCAACAGTTGTTGGAGGCGGCGTACGATGTCTAACGCGTCTCTTTATCATGTCCCATAATTGTTCTATAGGATTCGTGTCATGAGCACGTGCTGGCCAATTCATCGTGGTAATCCCTGCCTCCTCCGAGTAATGGGTGACAACTTGAGCTACAAGCGGTCGAGCATTATCATGCATTAATACAAAGTTGTCCCCAATAAATGGAGCGAATTGGACCGCAGCTTCCAGAAGAACTCAATATACCTTAGTGCAGTCGATTCTATAAAATAATCAGTTTGCTACGGGCATGCAAGTGATTCCAACCTATACATAACGGACTCTGTAAAAGGCTTAAGCATACTAATTTTAATGTAAACCGAATTTAAAAAAATCAGAAATTTATAAGTTTTAATAGAAATTATGATAATTTGAAATAAACTTGATGAAAATAGGTGAGAAACATTTTGATATAGATAATAATTTAATTAACAACTTATTTCTTCCTTCTTAGAACTTCCTCAATGTACCTTACTGCAGCCAAAGATGCAGTCTGTATAATAATGAGTACGGCCATACCATAGCCTTGCAGGTAACATACGTAAGCAAATACATCTACGCTTCTCCACAAACTGTCCCGGTAATCTGATTGCCATAAACCAAACCGGCACCCAGCTGTGAAGAGAACAAAGACAAAAAAAAAGATTTACTAATAAGGAGGCTTCTCCAATAGTGGAGAACTTGATGCGGTATGTCCATAGACTAAGTTGTTAACACGAAACCTTCTGATGACTGTTTTAGAACTTACATTACGGACCGTTTGGGCTATCAAGGAAGCCACTAAATGACGGTTCCGTAATGCGTAAGAGCAATCAAAGGTCGTCCCAAACCGTCTTACATCCAGGCTGACCACTACTCTTTCTCTGATCGAGATTTACGGTATTCCTAAACAACTGTAGATTGTGGATGGTAGAGAGCGTTAAACCGAAGACGGGCTATGCAACACTATAACGAACCCCAGTATTCATCAGAATAATCTAACCTTCTAGAGTGGAATCAACAGTAAAAATATATTAAATATTTCAGAAAGGTTGGCTAATTATGGCTCTATTCTTTACTGAGAATTAATGAAAACCTTTTTGTTATATTAATTTTGTGTTTTGATGCTACGGTTAGGATATTCTATGTATTTTCCTCTGCCATTTTTTAAGTGTTACTTCTTTTTTGGGAGTTACTTTTTTTCACATATACTATAAATTTGAATATTTTTTTAAATAATCATCTTTTAGTAATTACATACATTTTGGAAGGTTTCTCTTTTCCGTAGGAATTGTACATGCAGTTGATAGTTCTTTTAAATTTTTTCTCATTTTTTGTGGAAACTAGTTCGTCTTTCGAAGTCCGATTTTTCCCCTAAAGCTTCTCTGCAAAGGAGTAACCCAAATTGTTGCCTCTTTGTGCTCGGTTGGTTCTGGTTGATGAAAATTATGATTGCCACCCTGTTGGTGTGATCTGTTATTGGTCAAATCGGCACATCTTTGCTGCCAAGCCTCAACTGTATTTTGTGTTAGCCACTGTATTCAATTTATATATTTGGATCTTTGTGTTTCGGAAAGGTAGGGATAGATAGAGGGGGAGGCCACAAGGCTTTATGCACCTCGACCTGAGTAGATCTTTTGTGCCACCTGTTTTTTATAACTCTCTGGCCAGCTTCTGGTTATTAATAAATTCACTAGTTTTCCTGGTCCGCTTGATCAAATAATATCATTCAATTAATTAATCTGTATTTAAGGTATTGGTTGAGATAAACAAAGTCAGCGGCACAAGCCGAATTCGAACCCACGGTTGTTAATACCTCCATAGCTTTGCCAGTGGCTAAGATTTTGCTTGTGGCTAAGATTTTGCTTGTGGCTTTTTCTGTCCTAGTTGCAAGAACCTGAACCCACATAGACCTTCACAAAACCATAAAATGTGTTCTGCTCTCCTCCTCTTCCTGGCAGTACCTGCACTGTTTCTTCTGTCTGTAGAGCGTGCTTTCTTCAATGGCAGTGCCTCGTTGAGAGACCAACTAGAATCCTAGTTTCCTTGGATTGCCATCCAGTAATTCCTTTGTAAGTTTTGCGGATGGCGCTTCTATAAATCTCATCGCGTGCCTCATGCGTGTGATACATTCGACAAGGTTTGGTCATATTAAGTATCCATTTTGAGATGTATCCTCTTTTCTTCGCAAGATGCTAGGCCACAGCAGGTTGTGGTGTTCAGATTATGTTGTCCCCCATCTTTGTCCAGCATATCAACTTTTCTGTTGCCTCTATGTCCCGAACGCCCAGGGACCCACGCAGGTTCAGGTCATTAGTGTCGCTCACTTCCACCAGGGCCTACATGAAGGACCAAACACTCCTTGCCTTCTCCTCGTATGAGGCTTTTGTGCTGCCTGAATAACAGAGAAGATGGCTATCTTCCTGGAATGTATGCCTAGCTTTTAATTCCCCTGGCGCATTGTTCAATCGCTATGATTTCAGACTTGAAAACAGTAACATATTTACCCAGGTTTACCGCCAGTTCAGTCTTTGGATTCACCCCGAAGACTCCAGCCTTAATGGGTTTTGGAGCCGTCAGTTTACAATAGAAGTTTGCTTTTAGCGGTGTTCCTTCGGTCTTCAGAAAGAGAGGTTAGACGAATTTCCAAGGTGAATGAATTAAGAATACATCATGAAACGTCTATAAAAGTATAAAAATATTGGATTTGTATTTATTTGTCTTTATTATAAACATGTATGTTTTTATTTATTTCCAAATTTTATTGACATTTGTAAAATATTATGCATTATGAAGAATAATTTGGATCTTGATTTAATTTTTTTTAAAATTCTATTCTTCTATATCTGTCTTGAAAAGGCACCCATAAATAACGGAAAAAACACTTTTTTGTTGTCTTGCTTTCGTTATAGAAAAGTTTTACAGTAATAAGCGTGAAATTCAGGAACATCCAAGCCAATAAACATAAAAAAATGTATTTATAAATATCATATGTATATGTTAGTTTATGTAAATGTAATGTTTGTGTTAAACGCTATTAGGAAGAACGTTGAGAACCATGTCTAATATTTTTGAACCTAGCATCATCAAAAAAAGTTTCGTTAATCAACCTACCGCAATCATGGTTTTGTATGCTAATTCTCTATTCAGTTTTAACATTATGTGCCTGAATTGATCTAAGAAAATATTATCAAGAAACTAAACTAGCTTACCTAATAATCCTAATCTGTAGTTGACTGTTATGAAAATTACGTGGCCAAAGCTGGCCAAGACTCGACCGTCGTAATGATTGCCGGAGTTCCAGTCGTAGGACTCCCCGTGGAGGTAAACCATTACGGCGTATGGGGCTTCCATCCCTCGAGCACCTGTAAAATAAAATAATTGTAAAAAGTCAAAATGTGGATTTGTGTATAGTCAACAAACGAGAAAATATTTAAAACCTTAATGCTAGGGTGTAGTATGCTGGGGGGCTATTTCTAAGCCCTGGGACAGGAAACACTTTAGCTTAGCGTGCCTGACGATTTTCTGCTTATCCTTAATCATACGATTTGCTAAGATACAGATCATATTGATAATACTAAGTAGTTCCGACTTGGATTTTTGGGTTGTAAAAGGTAATCGTGAAGTTATTAAGGGTTTATTAAATTACATCGGAAATGTTCACCTCATATTCTTAAAAGTTCATGTTTTACTTTACGCCTGTCAACATATCAGTCAGATTTTTATTGGATAAAAACGATTAGTTAGTCCGACTTCGAGGTCGTTTGATAATTCATTCAGATTCGGTTTTATTTGACAATTCCATCTGTGTATTTTGATGTCTTCTGACCCAATTTATTCTAATTTAAAAAAAAATTTATGACTAATTCATGCTGTGAGTATATTAGTCTCGTAAATTTAGATTAATCTTTAAAAAAAAAATTTAATTAACAAAAAAGGTTATGGAGTTGGCAACATCGACGTCAAACAAATTTTGTCATACATGATCAAAAATTATTATCCAAGTGTCAACCATCTTCTACCATTTCCGTTTAAGAATTAAAGTTTGAAATGAAGTTTTATCCAGAAGCTTGCCTTTACAAATGTATTGCATTGAAAAAAGTTCTCGTAAAAAGCCTTGTATTCAATGATCCCTAATCCTATTACCTAATTAATAAATAATTAATGTTGAAGTACTTCAAAGATGTACTACTCTATCGATTTCGTTCTAAGTGAATAACAAGAGCCTTTTATATTTTCTTTTATGCTTTACAATTATGAAAAATTTCATTTTCAAGAATACTTCGTTATTTCTTTTCTTCTGTTATTCATAAGAACACTTTTTTTATTGTTTTTATATCCACTTTGTCTTTTCATTACTTACTGCTTTTATGTAAAATACACTTCGCGTGCTAATTTTAGAGATGGCTCTATTGCCATTTTTTCTAAATTTTAAACTGTACAACACAACCCTTATTAAAAATGATAAATGATGGAGTGAGTGTGGTGTTCAATACTTTTTAAAAGGATAGTTCCTACTCACAGTAAGTTGTTTTGCAACGATCCGGATTTCGAGCCTTTTTGCNAAAAAAATCAGCTGATAATTGGAACGTCGCGTTGGCGGAGGTATCAGCGGTTCACTTTGGCAATTCGTGTCGAGAGACGTGGTTGTAGAAGTCCTTCAACCTGATGATGAACAAAAAGGCTCGAAATCCGGATCGTTGCAAAACAAATTACTGTGAGTAAGAACTATCCTTTTAAAAAGTACACAACCCTTATCCTAATTAATAATATTTAATTTTAAAACCAATTAAGTTGAATTTCTTAAAACATATCAATTCATTTGTCCTAATTTGGAGTTTATTCACATAGCATCGACAATCGGAATTCATTTTACACTTTATCAATATTTAAATATTTTCGTCAGTGCTATTATATCATGCAAAAGAACATGCCGTTTTCTTGCAAATAATATTAAATCACTCCTTTAATATCGATCCACCTATTTCGCCATACCCGGTCTTTATTGTTGTATATGTGCTAAGGTGTTGTCAATATTATTTATCTTTTAAGGTCCACTTACGTTTGATCATTTCTAATCCTCTTTGCACACTTCTTATTGAGCATTAAATAATATTTTAGCATAAGAATAAAAAGAATGTTAATGTTCTTCTTGATAAAACAAATTCGTATTCTTTCTTCGTATCTATTTCTATTTATCGTACTTTTCAAAAAATGAAGAGATAAAAGAGAATAATGGTAATGGAGGTACACCCGGTTTAGAAAAGACGCGTTATAAATGTGTTAACTCTTTTCTAGAATGGGCGACCGGGGATGTCTCTTTACGGCTCAACGGAGATACCTAAAACCGTCTTCTGTTGTGTGGAAATATTTCTTTTCCCCCTTTTTTTTTAAAGGAAAATGCCTCGTTTAATGCCGTTACTCTCGTTCTATTGTACATTAAGGTTGATACCATCATGAATTACGTCTTGTTTGAAATGACGTACAATTAAAGGAAGGGAGGACAAAGGATGAACGCTCGGATTTCCTGAAGATATAGCCTTATTTGAAAAAGTCAAATACGTCTATTATAATATATAAGGGGTTTAGGTAAGGTTTAGGGTTGAAGTTTCAACTTTCTCTGTTTTTCAGACGCACCCTTTATTGTACTCCATGATAAACAAGACGTAAATAATTGGCCTTTAGTTATAACGTTGACATAATAATTTGATCAACTTATTTATTACTTGTTACATCCATTTATATTTACATATATATTTATGTAGCTATATGTAGATCTATCTCTGTCTATCAATGTACCGATCTGTTTATTTCTATAAGTATACATAACCATCTAATTGCATTAATTGCAATAATTACTTACAGTTCGTGGTTTTGTAAAAACAAATTAAAAATCTTTTTTTCTATTTGAAATCGTAACCTACATTTTCACTGGCAGATTCATCGTCGATTTTATGAACAACGGCGAAACCAGAGGTGGCACTAGTAAGTGCAGACTCCGTATATTTATATCTAGTTTATGCTATTCATAGTTTTGTGATGGTTGTAAAAGTAAAATGTTTTTTAAGGATAAGTAATTATATTTCTTCGAATTCTTTCAACATTTCTTAAATTTCTTGCCAAGATTTTACAACAAATGTACGTAGAATTAATTTTAAAAAATTTAACAATTTTTAATGCTGATTTTTCTCTCCGTTATTGGAGTTTTCTGACTTTCTCATCCGGAAGTTGTTTTATTTTTCCCAATAGCAAAATAACATTTCCCGCGAGAGTAGAAGGTACGTTCGTGCGTACCACAGTGGGGCAAAGGCGGGAAAAAATTTATTTCCTAAAAACTGAAATTTTGATAATTCAATATTTGAATTTGATTTTTGATTCAATTTAATAATTCAGTTTTTCAGCCAGAGTAAAAAGCTGTAATAATGTTTTGCGGTTAAAAATTGATCAAAACCAATAATCATTGCTGAAACCTGAAAAATTGTAAATTTTGCAAGACATACAGCTATTTTCTGAACATTATCTCTCACCCACCCAGCGGTTCAATGAAAAAACTTGTTCACCCTAATTTCCTTTTATGTGCACCCCCAAGTACGAGATAAAAACAAAAATTCAACGTTGGGATAAAATCAAGCGGGCTAGTTGAGGGAAAACCAGCAATATTCCGATTTTTAGACATCCAAAATAAGCTTCGATGTTCTTTGCTTTGGCACCGTTTTTTTTTCTATTCTATACACATCGAACCACTATCCCCGTGGTTTTTCTCTGCCTATTCCTGCCTATCTGTTTGCTGCACGTTTAAAATAGAGGTATTTTGCCAAAAATTTCAAAAATACAATAAATTTAGCAACTTTCGTTTGGTTGAAGTGTTGTGCCTTAATTTTTACTTTATTTCTGTATAGAATCCGTATCAAATATCCGAAGTATCGAATCATGAAACATTTTCTTTAATAAAAAGATGTATCTAAGGGATCACAAGTTTCGTTTGGTTGCGTACGAAGTGCAAAAACTGTTGACTTGTGAAAGAGTTACATAAGTATAATTATTAGTTGTTAATTTATACTTACTTTGTCATTTCAAGTTTTTATTTATTCTTCTTGGAATAACATTCTTGGAATAACAAATCATTGTACTCGATCAGAATGCCGATCCTAATTGCTTTCCATTCACGCAGACAGAGAAGATATCATATCGAATATCATGTCGTTCACTGCAAAAGGTAATAGTTTTTGAAATTTCGAAAGAATGCAATTTTAATGAAAACCCAAAATTTTAATAATTTTATTTAAAAAGGCCAGTTTTCTACTTTAACATATATAGTAAAAACAAGTAAAAAGATGGCCATTGGGAAGCTTTTGAGTTCAGCTTTTATTTTAAACGTAATTTTACAGTTTTTAAGCAGAAATTGATCGGTAAAACCGTACGCAAGCTTCATTTTGGCTATGTCAAAACGGGATTTTTTATGATTTACTTGAAAAAAGCAACTTAAGGCCTTTTTCATGGTTATATTCGTGATCAGTGTTCACTTTTCAGTAAGGGTAGAATTTTTCCAGATTTGCTCTTCTCTTCTTTACACTTCGTGTTTCAACAGTCTGTGAATAATTGTGAGTCCATCTAAGTCAATACGCCCGATTGTTTTTTGCAGCGCGTAGCAGTTCGTCTACCGTTAACAATTTTGGACGGTTTGCTGTGGCCCAATCGAATCTAAAAGAGTTTCATTTGATTCAGCAAACCAAAAAATCTAAAAAGACAAAATTTGGGGAACTTACCTCAAATGATTGTTACTGAATTTTTTCCGCTTTTTGTCTTTTCGCCCCACTGCACGTATTGGTGGCTAGTGAGCTAACTAATCAAGTGCAATATTTTTCCCCCTCCAGTCAGTTGTTGGATATAAAAAATTTCTGATTCTACAGAATTTACTTATAGCATCCTTCTGTAGAAACAGAAAAAAATATAAAAACCTAAATGATTATTTATGAATGAAAAATGGCGTAAACATGAGCAAAATTATTGAAAACGACCAAAGCGCAGATCCATCACCTGAGATATCTCAGTATTAAATTTCAAAATATTTGATAACGTTGAAACTTAAAAAAATAGATAACGTGCGAGTTTAAGTAAAGATTTGATTGTAAAATAATACTCCTGACACTTGTATTTATCTAACCTAAAGTTCTTGTGTATACATTTTGGATACGAACATTTCATGTTGAAATTAATTTAAAATTATCTTATTATTTTAGAATGTTTTGATGCCAGTTCCGGCACAAAACGGATTAATAATATCTAAAGTTCAATCTCACACCAGCTGCATCCATATATTAAGATACTTCAATTCTCCCCTCTCTCCCAACGGATTGTCGGGGGT